GGTAGGAATGATGGGCTAGTTTATCAGAAAATAAGAAGACAATAGAAGAATGAAAAAGTTTTGACACATGATTTCACTTTTCTTAAGGATTTAAAAATCCTCCAAGATACAACATAACTCAAAATTAAATGTGAACCCTGAACTTTCTTAAGGTTGTGTTTGGGATGCATATTTTAAATGCATGTATTAGATAAAAAAAAAAAAAAAGAATTTGAAATACATGTATTTTTAAAACACATTGTTTGGTTATATTAAAATGTTTTGCATTTGAAACTAAATTTCTAATTAAATTAAAGGATAATGATTTGTGCACTGGTTGGTTTGACACCCGGCGGGTGCACACTCCATAAAATAACATTTTCTTATAGCGTGAAGCCTACAACCATCCATGGACTTTGGCCTATTTATGCATCCAAACAGATACCAGCCCTTAACCTTAACCGCTTGATTCTCCATCACCTTTTATGATGTCATACTTTGATTGCTACAAGATAAAGGATCAAGTGGAAGAGAGGGTGCAATAGAGTCATGGAGATTCATCACCCAATTGTGATTTTCGATAAATAAGAGATGATTGATTGTTGGGCTTCTCAGGTGAGAAGTGTTTATGTTGTTACCCATAGCATAGGCGCAGAATTTAAGTTATTGGTATAAAAATCTTTTTTAATTTCAATAAAAAAATGGAGTTTATGATTGTTTTTTTTTAATTAGACAATAATTCATTACTAATGTTTAATGAATGTTAATAAAGTTTAGGGTTTTGGCAAGCGTTGTGACCCTAGTGCTGAATCCTTGATGCTTGACAATCGATGTGCAATAGCGAGCTGTGATGGTGGAGGATAGGTGTGTAGTTTAGTTATAATTTCCATTACACTATCTATATTATTGAGAGGAATTTTTCATATCCAGCTAACTATTGTACAGTAGTTTGATTGGGAGTTATGGAAGGTGGGAAGTGATGGATGCCGTAATAAACTATGGAGAAAGTGTTTGTAAGTTTCAAGTTAGCATGACCATACTAAAGTGTCATTTTACATCATTTTAAGGCATAAATATTTAGGTAGTTTGTTGTTATTGAAATCAATTAACTGTAATGTGCATCTCCTTGCACTATGCTGGGAAGAATAGTCCTAACAACAATGCTAAAACTACAGGTCAATTAGTGATACATGTTTATGATAGTAGAGATGAAGATGCAACTACACACTAACAATGTAAGGGGAAAAAAGAGAGAGTAAGGATCTTGGTTTGGCAAAGAATATTGCAAACATTGAACCCTGCTTATTGTCTACATCGTGTCCTTAATTGTTACTTTTAGAAAAGAATGAGGTATTAAGTGGTGAGGTAAGTATGTAATATCTTTGTAGCACTGGGTAATGTTCTTTACTCTTCTAAGTTGTGTTTAAGAAAGATTGAAATTGTCTTAGTTAGATTGTAATTATCTGACTTGTATTTATGTCAACCACTACCTCTGCCTTAGTTTTGCAATTAGCTAAGCTATTCTAAAGAAAGAGTGAAACTGAAATGGGTTTGTAGTATATATGTAATGTTTACATAAGTATTGAACAATGATGATCCTAATGTCCAAAGTAGAGTAAGGAAAGAATAAATTTGAAATAAGAACTGGGCTATTGAGATAATTGTCACATGGTTTGTGTGGGAGCATGAAGAAAGATATGTAGATCTACTGTACATTACGAAGAACTTTTGGTTGTAGCATTGGTATGTTAGGATGTATAGCTGCAAGGGAAAATATATTCACAAGAACAAGCATTCATTTGCCATAGTTAAAGAAGCACAATGCTTGAATGTTGATTTGTGGGGTAGATGATTGAAAGGATTTACGTGATGTGGTTGTTATGACCATAAAGAAAGTACTATGTATTGAAGAACTATGTTGTATTGAAGCAATTATAGTTTCTTGAGGTTATTGAACATATATTCTACTTTGTTGTGGAATAGAGATAAAGGGATCATGTAGTTAGCTTGAACTTGTGTTGTTAGAGTTACATTGAGGCAGGAGAAATTTATATTATCTCGATTACGGTTTTTTTGATGATTTTGCATCTTTTACTAATAGCCAAAAGGTACAAAAGATTAGTTAAAAATTGTAACAATTTTGGCTCTTAAGTCATAACCTATGGTTACTTGAGATGTACAACTTATGTTTTATTGTTCACATTGTTTTCAGCATTGCCTAAGAACACTATGTGCTTTCAATGTCCAACAGCTGTAGAAACGTGTGGAGTTGTGGAAGCAACCTTGTAATTGAGAAAGAAGGTTAGCTTGTATTTGGCCAAAACAATAATGTGGCCAAAGGTTTTGTTTAAATTCTTTTCCTATGAAATTCTCTTTATTCTTGGACACTGCATTTTGTTACCATAGAACACAATTCTTAGATTGTATAACTTGAACTTGGGTGTCTAGGATTTGGCATAAATGTTTCCTTCTAAATCCACTATCCAATAAATTTGTAAAGGATAATGTTTATACTTTTTTTTTTCTTATGGGATATTCTATTGGGGTACTTAGGGAGAACTAGTTTAATACAATTAAGTTTAGGGATAGCCAATTGTGGTCTTTTGGATTTGGGATGTAACATTTAGGGATTATTGCTTACATTATGCTGAAACGGTGGACAAGTAGGCTATAATAAACTTGATTAAATTGTGTCAATGTCGCCCCTTTATACTGAAAATGCAATTGGGTGTAAAAATTGAAAATTGTTGTTATTGTGTTAAGAAGGGATGAACCGCTTTTTACTTTTGCTTTTAATTTAAACTTATATGACTTCATTGTTGTTCAAAGTTGCACCTTTGAGCATTTCTAGTTCTCAAAGGAACACACATATAAGTCACCCAACTAAATGTAGATATAATTTCATTGCAAATCTAGTTTATTAAATAATTTGTTCCAATGGCATTGTTTATATGTAGTAACAGTAAATATTTAATTATTGTGTTTAGGGTTATAGTTTATGCATTTAGCCCTTTCTAAATTATGCATGAGGCTTTTGCTCCATCATGTTATACTTTGAAGATTTTTGCCGATAGGGTTTGAATATTTTGGCTCCTCGACTAATTGATATAGTAGTTTTATGAAGGCCCAAAGATTGACAATGGCTTTGGCCCTATAATTTCGCAGTCCATTATACAATGCTACAAAAGTTCAAGTGTCTTATTGGCCGTTTACAGTTTAGGGTACCATAAACTCATAGTTTTGCCCTTAAAAATTTTGTATCCATCACCTCCCGTTAACAATTGAATTAGTTGTCACAATGACAATTCAATTGTAAAATTCTAATTTTTTAGCTCCTAAACTCCATCTAAACCCTAACATTGGGGAGATGTTGTCCACAATTTTGTGCTCAGTTGCCTTACTATCCCTTTTAAGGCCCATATAAAGCTTTAGGAGACCAATATAGCCCAAGAAATAAGTTGTACTATTTACCATAATTCATGCTATATATAGTTACTGCACCCACCTTGTCAAGTTTTCCTATCTAATAGTTAAAGTTACAAAAAGCAATCGCCGTGTTAAGTGGGCTATATATAACACCACGACATTTAAAATTGAATTCTGCATACCAGTATTGCGATTATGCACCGTTATGTTCCTTCTTCTAAGGCGGTTGCTACTTTGACGTGTAATTCTACTGCTTTTAGTTAAAGGATTGTTCTCTTCATCATTGTTCCCATATCTGCATTCACCTTGGATTTCAGTGGTTATCAATCCTCTTCGCCCTGACAACATAGTTGGCATTTTGTTTGGTTGTGGCAATGCCCCAGCTCTCCTATGCAAATCGCTATTCTTCAAAACTTCATCCATTGAAGCAATTTGATCTCCTTAATACATCAACTCTATTGCTAGCATTCAAACAAGTTCAATTATTTTCAAATAAAGAGATTAAGTGATATGTACAGTTATGCCCTTGTAAACTTAAATTAATCCACAAGTATAGTGGTTTTAGTTAAGTTTGTAAATTTGGTAAGAAGTAGAAAGCACAGTGTTGATGACCACTTAAGATTTTTTTTTTTCAAAATAAATGAAAAATTCAAGTGTGAAAGTATAAAAAAGAGGGAGTCGCCACTCATCCAAATTATAAGGTGGGACGAGTCACCTAAAACAGGTTTGCGTAGAGATCGATGTTCAGGAGTTCGGTTAGGAGTGAGAAAGGACATACGTGCACCTCACAATCCTCCGTTTAAACACGATTGCATACTTTAACATTGGAGGTTTTGAATCAACTTATTCATCATATTTATGTTTGAGTCTTAAAAAGCAAACTTGAAAAAAAAGAGACAAACCAAATTGAAACATTTAAAAATTTTTGGACTAAAATGAACAAAATAAAAAATGTATGCTCAATAAGTACAAATGAAAATTAAATGCACTGATTTGATAAAAATAAAAATAAAGGACTGATTTGAAAAGGTTTGAAACTTTTGGACTAAAGTGCTTGAACATAAAAGTTTTATGTGAAATTGAAATAAAAAGATAACTCTTGATTTTTTTTAAAAAAAAAACAAGATTAAGGCAAATAAAAG